GGGGGGGGGGAGTTCGTGGGGGGGTATTGTATGTGGGGGGTGGTACGTGGGGGGGTAAGACGAACCACTGGATGCGGCAACGGTGGCGGCGGCGGCGGCGCCAGCGCCACCACCGCCGTCAACGTCACCACCGCGAGGGGAGGAGAAGGGGAAACGGAGGAGGGGAGGGGAGGGTAGCATGGGCATGGAGACGAGGACGAGATGCCAGACGAGGATTCCATGATGCCAGCATACCAGAAGCAACTGATGGCTCCTGCAACCTCACGGCCACCTCCATGGCCCCTCACCGGCAGCTCACCTCAGGTCTCGGATCCGCAACCATGTACCGTATGGAGCGGGGAGTCACCACACCGCCGCCTGCGTTCGCGGTGATAGCAGTGGGCGGGTCTGTCGGTGACAGTGTGTGTGGGGGGGGGGGGATGGGATGGCGGCCAAGGGGATGGTTGAATGCGGGCTGCAGCAGGGCGCCGGGTGATGGGATATGTGCCGGTAGATATATATGGGCTCTGGGGGCCTTGGGTTGGGGCTTTCTTTCCAGAGTTTGTAATGGGTCTTGATGGGGCATGAGCAGCGGCAGAGGGCGACAGCAGTAGGCGGGGAGACGTGGGATCCTCAAAGTGCTGTGTGATGGTGGTGAGCTGCAAAACTCTGTGTGGCGGTCCGACATACAAACTGAACGAACTCAGTGGAGTGCACAAACTGTGGGGTGCGCCCGCAATGCCGGGGGCCCCCCCACACATGTACACACATTCTCATGTGGCATCTGCCCCGGGCGCCTGCATGTTTGTCTACGACTACGTGGCAGCAGTTACGGGCGAGCTGCTAGAGCAGTCCCGTCCCGAGGCGTTCGTGTGAGCGCGGGTAATCTGGAATACACCGCTGCCTGGCGGGGAGGGCCGTGCGTGCGTGCGTATGTATGTATGTGTGGCGTCTTACGTAGTTGCATGAAGCGCGATAGGGAGATTCCCTCCCCCCTTGCATCTGATTACTTGTTACCTCCGTCGTCGGCAGGATCTAACTAGGATTATAAACCAGGGAATGTGTGTCTTGATTAAGAGATCCCCAAGGTTGGGAGCCTGACTGGTAGTGTGCTATATATACCGGGGGCCACATCCCGGACCCATGTAGATGATCCCAGCCAATCCTAACCCAGGCTCAGCCGTGCTGGTGTGTGTTTGTCAGCACGTGCACGTGCACGTGCACGTGCAGAAAGAAATTAGCGTGATGACGGAAATTAGCGTCTTTGATACCTCCCGCGCGCTCCCGCCGTGCCTTGAGCAGGGTCGGCCCCGTCGCCATCGTCCGAGGTTTCCGCTGGCCAGGGGCCCATCTGTATCCGGACCCGTAGCCCTGCTCCCGCCTCCTCATGCGATGCTCCTGTGCCTGAGGGTTCGTCCTCCGCGTTGCTGTCGTCCTCTGACTCGCGAGATGGGCGCTGGCTGAAAGCGGCGCGATCATCGTCATCTGGCGGGCTTCGGAGCTCGCTCAGGCGACTTGCAATTGTCTCCCGGCTGCGGCTGGCGCCACCACTACTGCCATTACTACTGCTGCCTTTTAATAAAGGATTGAAAAGAAAGGCGTTGATGATGACCCGCCGCGGCTGGTTGCTGGGTACCCTTGCACGACCGTGTGGGCAGAGGGCCACAGTCTGGAAGGCTGATTGCTGTGACGTTGCCTGTGTTCGCACAATGCGGATGGGGCGAGAGTTGCAGTGACAAATGTTGCATAAAGCAAGCTCGAACGCGGGAGATTAGCATGCCGCTGGATAGTAGCGTGCGATTGAAAAGTCAGGATGTTCAGCTGGGATGCATGCCGGGGGAAGGCGGTGACGTGAACCACCCATAGGGTTTTCGGCCTTCCCTCGTATCGCAGTCATGTCAAAATGTTTCCAAGTTACTAGGACCTTAGGTAACCTTGAGCAGCATGGTGGACCACGAGGTAAAGAAGAGCCCATGTCCTACAAATTTGTCGTGTGCAACTTCCTTCAAAGCGCTACGTCTGCGAAGAAATATATAGTAATTTGTTCAATACCGAGGTCCTGATGGCAGAAGGGCCCAGCCCGGAAGACAGCGGAAATTGTGAGGTTGCCTTGCACCAATCAAAAACCGGTAATTCAAACGCTAAGAGGGGTCTGCTTCGTGCGTAGCGATGACGCATAGGCAGTAAATTCTTTGTGAAGTCTATGGCGAAAGGCAAGACAGCCCTCATTCTAATTTCCCGCCTAATTTGGAGCCGTCGTACCTTCAGCCCTCCTTAGCTGTGAACACGCTGGAGCTAACTGTAAAGTTCCCTAGCTAAAATTTTCAATTACTGATAACAACTTATGCTCCGGCTACAGGCTATTACGAGGAGCTTGAACTCAGCTGTCCATATCGTTAGTTCGCAAGATGCTGAATCCTTAAATCATCTAACTAGCCTAACCAAGTATATTTTAATGTAGTGGTCCTAGATAACTTAAAATGGCGCCCCGTAAGTCCACGGCAGTTTCCGCCGTTGGCTCGACGCCCGGACCCTCACAGCGTCCTAGACGCGCGGCCGTCAGCGCCCATAAGCAACCAGTAGTAGAAGTTCACGATAGCAGCGAGGATTCTACAAGCTCCAGCGGCCATGAAAGTGAGCCGAATGAGAAAGGCGCCCCGCGGCGAAGCGTGAGGAAGCAACAACCAGGCGCAGCACTGAAGACCACCCAGACTCCTGGACGTGTCACTCGACGAACTGCAACAGCCGCAGCTGCAGGCGGCTCGGCCGCTCCGGCTGAGAAGCCATCGCGAGCTGCACCCAGCCGCGCCCAGCCGCGCCGCGGAGTACAGCCCGCAGCCGACACGGGCAGTGATTCAAATCCTGAAGTGGAATCGCTGACGGGCTCCGAATCCGATGATGGGCAGGAGATAGGTCCAGATCCGAATAGAGTACAGAAACCAGCGGACAAGGCGATGCCGGGCACATGCACACGGGTAACACGGCAGAGCAAAGCACTGAATCTGCCGACCGCGCAGGCAGCAGCAGCTCGAGGACGCGGCGGACGTGTGGCAGCTTCTTCTGCAAGAGGGCCGGCGTCAAAAACAGCGCCAGCCGCCGCCGCCGCTGCTGCTGCTGCTGTCGTTGCTGCCGCAGCTAAGGACGACAGGAACAGCTCCGAAGAGAGCGACGACGAATCGGAGGAGATAGAAGAAGAGGAGGAGGGGCAGGACCGTCCCGCCACGACTGTGCATGGCCGGGGCGGCGGTAAAGGCTCCCGGCCGCTGGTTCCGCCGACGGCGACGGAGAGCCGCAAGCGGCTGTTCGAGCTGCTGGAGCGGCGCATCGGCGGTGTAACGGCCGCGATGGACGGCGGCGCCGGCAGCGGCAGCAACAGCAGCCGTCGGATGATGTACGGCGAGCTGCCCATAAAAAACGCCGCCAAGAAGGCCAAATTGCTGACGGACCTCAAGTACGGCACAGTAATAACAAAGATAATAATAATAATAATAAACTGGCGTTTAGAATTGAAGCGTTAGGGGCCCTGCTGTGAAATACTTGGCTGCATTTGATCATCAGAGGTGTAGATCGCCATTCCTCTTCCCCCCTTTGACCCATTCCGCCGGGGTCCATTCGTTTTTGTTTTCGTGTGTCCACGTCGACGTTACATTGCCTGCTCCCCCCTGCTCTACTTCCCCCCTCTGTTTCCCGTTGCTTCCGCACCTTTGTTGTCCTCGCCTGCGCCTGCGCCTGTGCCCCGCACCTCCCGGCCCCAGGTCGCAATTCGACGACTGGCACAGCCGCCTCAGGTCGGTTTCTCCGAATGGGGGGTGGGTGGGAGGTAAGATGAGCCACTGGCGGATTGGTGGATGGGGGTTACGACGGAGGGGAGGGGAGGGGGGGGAGGGGAGGGGAGGGGAGGGGAGGGGAGGGGAGGGGAGGGGAGGGGAGGGGGAGGGGAGGGGAGGGGGGGAAATCGAGGACTTAGTTCGGAAGGTACTTCTCAGATGTGACTGAAGGATCCGGGCAGGATTTCCGGTCTGCTCTACGGCAGGTATGGACTTATAAATCCATTCGCGTGCACGTCTTGGCATGATGATGATGATGCACTTGCATGTCGTACCGCAGGTCGAACTTTTCCGTACTGTTGTACGGGTTTGGATCTAAGCGGGGCCTGCTTGACGAGTTTGCTCGGCTGCTGGCGGGGCCCAGGAACAGGTCCGTGCATGTTGATGTGTGTGTGTGTGTATCTCTTGCGTGTGTAGCATTGCATGTTATCGAAGAGCTGTACTAAAAGGGGTTCCTAGGACCGTAACTCCCTCCTTTCCTCTCCTCGCCTTGCTTTTTAACCCCCACCTCTTTCCTTTCCAAGGTATACTTTCGACGTGTTGTTGTTGTTGTTTTTGTTGTTAGGCTGCCACTCCCCCAACTGCTTTCTCCAGCCCCTCCCGCCGTCTTGCTGTTCCCCCTCTCCGCGATTCCTTCTCTCTACGCCTCCTCTCCCTTGCCGACACACCCACACACTCATCCCCGACTTTTACACTTCGGACTTCTGTTCCCCTCTACCTCCCCTGAATATGCATCCAATGTAGGGGCGACGCGGCTGTGTTGGTGTTTCACGGCTACAACCCCCGCTGCACGGCTCGGGAGGTGGTGGGGGGAGTGGCGGCGGCGCTCATGCAAAGAACTTACAGGGGCCTCGGGGGAGGGGGAGGGGGAGGGGGCAGCGCCGCCGCCGCCGCCACCACCACCGCGATGGCCGGGCCTGCCGCCACCGGCGGCGGAGGCGGCGCGCCTGCCGTACTTCGAGCCCTCGTAGAGGACATCCGTGGGGAGCCTCTGAACCGACATGCGTTCGTTGTGATTCACAATATTGACGGACCTGGTGGGGGTAAACGGTTGCTTGGGAGTTGGTGAGGCGGTTGTTAGTTGGGTAGTTAGGTGGCTATCGGGAAGAAGCGGATGACGATATTCAAAGCAGAAAGAGAGGCGGAGGCTGCCAAGGCAGAGTAGATCTAGTCATGTTCACACTTAGTCAGTGTGCGCATGTGTGCGCGGGAGGGGATTGTTTTTGCTTCCAAAAGACCCCTTGGGGGCGGCCCCCCCCCCCCCACACACACCACCACCGCCACCGCCCACGTCGTAGTTTTTCTCGGGTTATGCTAGAGGACAGCTCTCGACCTAACTCCTCCCCCACCTCCTTTCACTTCTTTGCCCTTAGCTCTTAGTCACATCCGCACTAAGAGACACTGGTCGCTAACGGATTGCCCTTGTGACCCACGGGTCAGGTCTACGGGGGGACGTGTCGCTACTGAGTGCCTTGGCGGCTTGCCCGCAGGTGGGGCCGGGCCGGGCCGAGTGGGGGTGGTATGTGAGGGGGGGGGGCCAACCTAGAGGAGGGAGCGTGTCGTGTCAAGGGGGGGTTGGGTTAGTGTGCGCGCGCGTGCGTTTGGGCGTGGGGGAGTTTATGGCCCATGTCAGTGGTTTTAGGGTTTGGTTTGCTTGGTGAGTTGGAAGGAAGGAGCTGGTGTGGTTGGTGGTTGGTGGGTTGCATGCGGTGTCGTGGGGTACGGGGCGGGGTGGTTGTGGGGGTGGGGGAATTTGGATTTGTCCTGGAGTACGAGGAGGGGAAGATGGGTTTCAGTGGACGCATTTCCACGGGACTCAGCAGCTGTAGTGGTAGCAGTCCGTCGGGTCGGGAGGCCGGGGCAGTCATGGCAAGGTGGGGATGGATGGCGCCCGTTTCCCCGGGGAGCAGTCACCTGTCGATCTTTTTCATGCCGTACGTTGTTGCTTGTGTTTTTCCTCGTACGTTCCCTCCAGGTCCACGTCATCGCGTCCATTGACCACGCGCTGGCGCCCCTGCTGTGGGATTCCGCAGATGCCGCCCGATTCAGGTGTGTGTGTGTGTTGGGGAGTGTCGTGAAAGATCGTGTGTGTGTTTCGTCAAAGGAGAGGTGGTGAGGTGGAGGGGGGCCTGGCGGTGAGCTGAGGAACGCCGGCGGCGGCGTAAACGCCGGTACAGGTTTAGTTGTTGGTGCGGCGGATTGCCGTACAGGGAGCAACTCCATCATTCAACTTGAATGATGTTAATATGTAAACTAGCAAGATGTTGCTCGCGGTGGAGGGATGGCCCGGCAGTAGCAGCTGCAGCACCGGAGGCGATTTAGGGCTGCCGGGGTGGCTCCGAGAGGTCGGCGGGCCGTCCGGCAGTAGGGCTCCGACAGTAGGCAAGTAGCGGCGACTGGAAATGGGAATACGTGGGTTGTTATGTGAGAATGTACGGCACTGTTGCCCGGAACATTCCTCTCTAGGTGCGGTGTATACACACGCACACACGTACATAATTCTACCTCCCCTAACCCCACCCCCGTTCCCTGCCCTGGCCCCCCCCCACCCCAACCCCATTCAGATGGCAGCACATCAACGCCACCACCTTCCAGCCGTACCTCGCGGAAATCAGCGGCGCACAGTCCGTGCTTATGAGTAAGTGGAGGGTAGGCGTGTGGCTCCCTCCCTCAATGTGATGTATATGTGTGTATGTATGTATGTATGCGCGTGTATACCCCCTTCTCCATTTGCAAGCGATGCGTCTTTTTTCTCACGTCTCCTGCGGTTGGTGCTGTAACTCGTCCCCCCCCCACCAAACACATCCTTCACACAGACACACACACCTTCTCTCCCCTTCCTCCCCCCCCCTCCCTCCCTCCTTGTACATTAGGGTATACATAGGGAAATGCATTCCCCACACTCGTTCCTTGGCAGCAGCTTCACTCGTTCGTGGTTCGTCTTTCCCCCTCCCTTCCCCCCCTCTCTCTCCCTCTGGCGTATGTTTCCTTTCCCGCCGTATCTTCCCGCCTCCTCCCCCCCCCTCCCTCTCTCTCCGGCGGTCCAGGCGCCTTTAAGTCGGGTGTGGTGACGGCGGGTGCGGGCACGGTGCTCCGGAGCCTAGTGCTGGGCGCCCAGGAGGTGTTCAAGGTGCTAGCAGAGCACCTGCTGGAGGACGAGGAGTGCGAGGGAGTGGCGTTTGCGCACCTGTGCAGGTAGGGGAAGTACGGCGTGTACGACATGGCGGTGATGTACGGGGCGGCAGGTGCGACAGCAGCGGATTGGTGGATGAGCCTTGGTGTGTGTCTGTTTGTCTGTGTCACTACGTGGGCATAGGAGGAGAGGGGAAGGGAGGAGGAAAAGAACGTAACCATTCCCAACCAACTACAACTAACTCAGTTGTCAACTGTCAACCAACTCAACCACCTCCAACCGCCAGGATGTGTCGCGAGCGCTACCTGGTTCGTGACGAGCGGGTTCTCCGTCAGCATCTGGTGGAGTTCGTTGACCACCAGTTGGTTCGGTTGCGACCCGCCTCTGACGATAGCGGGGAGCTGCTGACCATACCCATGACCCGGACAGACATACAGGCGGTGTTGGAGGACCTCAGGGCGGCGAGAGGGGAGTGAGGGGCACGGGGGGGGAGGCATGGGGGGGAGAGGGGGGGGCCTGGAGTTGGCAGGGAGGAGGGGGGCCGTAGGTTGAGTGTTTAGTGGCAGTACAGCAACAAGTGGTGGGGTGGTAGATGTGGGGTGGGGTCGGGTGGGGTGGGGTGAGGGCGGGGATGGGCAACTGGGTTTGGCAGGTTTGGCTGACGTGGCAGGGTTAGTCCCGGCCCTGGGGTGGGGTGGTGTGGGGCTCGGTGGCAACAATCGAAGGTAGGAAGCGGGTCGAGGGTGAGGATGCGCCAGGAAGGGTGAAGGGGGCTGCCTCCTGGTGGCTGAGATTCCCGCTTGAGGGCGGGAGAGGAGGGGAGAAGGGAGGGAGAGGGAGGAGGGGAGAAGGGAGGGGGCTTATGATGTGATTCGTACGGTGTTGGGGAGAGCAATGGAGACTTGTTCTGTTGCTTGGGGGCTGGGGAGGGGAAGAGGGGACTTTTCTTTCCGAAGGTGGTGAAGGCGCGTCAGGCGGGCAAATATTCAGGAGACGCCCACCATTCCGGTCTGTCACTTGGGTTGGTGCGTGCGCGTCTGCATGTGCCTATGTCTGTAACCAGCTGTACTACTGAAATAGGCGCGCGTGTGCATATGTACCTAAGTATTTACGTCTGTATGTATGTATGTATCAAGCGGACTATTGCGCAGCGTTGGACATCGGGCCCTATGTCGGCAACACTGACTGTAAATCGGAGGTAGAGGAGGTAAGATGTGCGTGTGTATGTATGTGTGTGTGTGTGGCCCTATTGGGAAAAGTAGGAGGGTTTGATGGTGCAGGGTGTGCAGGAGGCAGCACGTTTGTTTGTGTGGTATTTGTGTGGTCGCAGCCAGATCTTGGTCGTGTATGGTCGTTTGGTATTACAACTTGAAAACAATTTCCGGTTGGTTTTCCGCCTCGAAAGGGAAAGCAAAGTCCCGCGAGAATTGATTTAAAAAGCAAAATTGTTTCGTCCAATAAAGACGCACCGACTTGCCATACACAATGCCCTCATCTTGCATGGGGACTCCCAAATAAATAAATACGGATGTTGTCGTACCGCAAATTTAAAAATACTATGCAGGGACCAAAAAAATAACCCATCACCACCACAACAACGCTGATGCGCTACGTCTCCCCACGCCAATCGTCGTTGTTTGCAGCCTGCAGTACGGCAGTCAAAGTAAAACCAACGGCACGGCATAGCTGTGGGGGGGGAGTGGAGGCGGCCGACTGCCCCCGCACATCGACAGATGCACCAACAGCCCGGACCGACAGACAGACGGACAGACCCCCGGGAGAGGGGGCCCACCGGCGACATGTATCGAGAGCGCACCTCTGCCCGCCGCTCGCGAGAATACAATGGTATTGTAACACCGGTATTTGAACGGTTAACTCTGTCCTGGTAATACTAATACTAAATCATTACTTCTCCACGGCAGCCAAGGTATTTACCTGCAGCTGCAGCTTCAGCCGCTCAATCACCTCCCCAGCTGTCGCGCGGCTCAGTAGCGCGATGAGCTCATCTAGGGCGTATTCAGGTTGGCGAGACGCCGGCGCTGACTGGTAACGGTACGGCGCCATGTCGTACTCGCGAGTGGATCCGTCGTACATCTCGCCCGTCAGCTCGTCAACCAGAATACGCAGCCACCGCTCCGGAACCACGCCCCGGAAGAGGCTCCGTAGCCAGGGCCCTGCGTCGGCCTCGACGCCCCGCGCCGCGCGACGCAGCAGTGACCGTACGTAGTCGGCCTGTCGGCGAGAGATGGGCGGCGGCAGACCGGCGGCGGCGGCAGTCGCCGCCGCTCTGGCTTCCGCAGCGTTCTCCTCCGCTTCTGCCAGCTGCTGTACGGCAAATACGTGGTGTAACAGCAGGCCCAGCGGCGCGCCTGGTACTGCTGCTGCTACTGCGGCTGCTGCGGCGGCACCATTGGCGGTCTCGCTGCCGCCACCGTGACGATCGTCCCCGTCGCCAGCCAGACCTTCTTCAACCACTTTGGCGCCAACCGAAAACGACGACAACGACGCTGAAGGTACGGAAGGAGATATGGGTCCTGCCTTTTCCGATGTGTACGATAATATTCCATTGGATCCGTACGATGGTCCCGCCGGCGGCGACGCCACCTCGTCAGGGCACAACGCATGGAACACGGCGACGTCCAGCCCCCGCAGCAGGCCACGCCTCACCAGCTTCCGTACCCGCACCCGCTGTGCTGCGCTGGGTACCGCCGCCGCCACCGACTTCAGGGAGGCCCGCCGTACGCCCGCCGCCGCCATGGCCATGGTGACGTCGACGCCGCTTGCGGCACGCGAGGCGACCAGGGCCGCCGCCGCTTCGGCAGTGGCGGACTCGTAAGCCCCTGGGTTGCCGCCGCTGTCCAGCTGCGGCGCCGGCGCGACATGGAGCCGCTGCAGGTGCTGCTCCGCCGCCAGTACGGCATTGGGCAGCGACAGATCCCCGCCTGGCAGTGTGCAGATGCGCGTCCAGCTGTGTGTGTGTTTTGGGGAGGCGCGGAAGGAAAAAGGGGCGAAGAAGAAAAGTGGGGAAAAAAGGGGAGAGGGGTTTTGGAGGGGAGAGAGGAATCGTGGAGCTCACCCTGGTGCGACATCTTCTCGTTTTCCAATTTTAACCAAAATTAACCTTCAACCGACAACGGTATGAGAAGCACTGCGGGGATCTCAAAGGAGAAATCAGAAAGGCCGGTAGCTCCCTTCGGTATTCCCCCCTGTCCATTACTCACATTCAACGGGGGCCCCGGGTAGCTCCTGACCCGCCCCGGCTGCCGAGAGACCACAAGGGCTAAAGACGGCCGGCAGCCAGCCACACATACACCCCGCCACATCGGCAGTCATCCCCTTTCTTTTCCACATAAGCGTATACACATACATACATACATACATACATACATACATACATACATACATACATACATACAATCGGCAGGCGGCTGGCAGAGGTTAAGGCCTGACTTCTGCTCCCAGTTGACCCAGTCGACCCGGGTTCAAATCCGCCTGCCGGCTCCTCGGGTGTTTGAGGGGTGATGAAATGGGAGGTGGCCCCCCATCTTATGGACGGTGTAGGACGTGATAATATCAACTTGCGAGCTGACCAGGAACTAAGTTGATGCGCCGTTGATCCGCTAGATTTGGTTGGATGCTGGTGGTGAGTTGCCGAACTCAACGAATACATTCTGAAGTCGGATGGGGTGACGGATTAGGGTGCCCCTCTAGCAGGGGAGAGCAGGGACTGCCCCGGGAAAGGGGGCCGCTGGCGAAGTTAACCACCCTGTAACAACATACATACATACATACATACATACATACGCACGCACCTGAGAAGCCTCTCCCGCGGGTTACACTCCCGCCCGAAGCAGCTAACAGATAACTCCCACTCCCATTGCCGTACTCGAACATGGGCATGTGGAGTATCTGGAGTCTTGGGAGGGACAGCGGTGGAAGAAGGAAGAAGGAGCTGGGGAGCACAAGGGGCGGAGGAGGCGGAGGAAGAAGGAGGAGGAGGTTGGGGAGGTTGAGGAGGAGAAGGGGCGTTTTCTGTGCCACCGGCGACAGGGCGTGCCGCCGCTGTCGCCATGTACGGCCCCACGTCCTCGCGTCGAAGCGGTTCTTGACGCGCAATGGAAGGCTGATGATGAAGGCTGGTTGGGTTTAGCGGGTGAGGGTGAGGGTGAGGGAACTGGGTGATTTGTGAAGTGGTTCCCGGCCGCGGCGGCAGGGCGGCAGCTGCTGTCGGGACAGTCACGGCCGGCGGCACCGCGATGCACTCGCACTCCGGTGGCGGCTGCTGCTGCTGCTGAGGGCGCCCTGTTGTCGTTGGCCCGCTAGACACCGACCCACGGGTCCCAAACTCCGTCGTACTGGACCCATGGGTCAGCGTGTCCCCCTTACCGGACCCATGGGTCGCTGTTCCCGTCGTCTGCTGCCACATTCCCTCTTGCACGGCGACGAATGGCTCCTGAGGATTCGTTAGGAGCGGTGGTACGGTGCTGAAGATGCTAGCTGCAGGTTTGCCGTACACAAGGCATGCGGGCATGCTGGCTGCAGCTGTAGGTGCTGATGTTGGTGGCACATCGTGCTCATCGAAATGCGGGCCGCCTGAATATACCGCCGATAGTGACTCGGGCGAGGATACGTGAGCCCCGCGAGTCGTTTCAGATTGCGCCAATTCCGTGCCATGCTGCTGCTGCTGCAGCTGCTGCTGGGTTTGACCCGCGTTTTGCAGTTGTACTTGGTTGGCAGGTGGTTGTGACGGTTGGACCGGTTGGGTGTCGGCGTCTCGCGCCGTACAAGCCTGCGTCTGAACCTGAGCTCGGACCTGCAGGAGGGACTGGTACGACAGCCACGCGGAAGCGAATTTGGCGGCGGCGGTGCTGCCTGACTGGTTAGCCGGCGACCCCGTCACTGCCGCCGTCATGGCCGGCTCGGGAACATCAATGGTACCGGAACCGCTGATAGCGACCCCGTCATTGCTGCTGCTACTGCTACTGCTGCTGCTACTGCTGCTGCTGGTGGAGCGGCCGGAGAGCTGTCGCGGCCTCAGGTCCCGCAGCTGATCGGGGTCCTCCGTCTGGCCCTGCCCCCCTTGCGTCTGCATGTGTGTTTGCGTGCCTTGAAGCTGCGATACCTCACATTGCTGAGGCTGAGACGAGACGGCAGCAGCAGGCTGCGCTGACGACAGCGGCGATGGCGGCAGCGGCAGCGGCGGTGGCGGTGTTGCCGTACGGAAGGGAATCGCCGCTCCCCGCAGGAAAAGCGGCCGCCGCTGAAGTGCGGGCGGAGGCTGCGGAGGCGGTACGTACGTGGAGGCATCCCCCGGGGCGGACGACGGTTCCCCACCCGCCCTACCTGCAGTGCTACTGCTGCTGCTGTCACTGCTAAAGCCGCTGCCACTACAGCAAATACCATTGGTGCTACTGCTACTGTTACTGCTACTGCTGATGATAGCAGCGGCGGCGGAGTTGCAATCTGTCGCCCCGGGGCGAAGTTCCCCCGGCTCTTGGGGGCCCCGTGGGCCACCACCTTGTGTGGGCGGGGAGGCCTGTTGCCTCACCTCCCCACAATCCTGCTTCTGCGGCACTGGCTGCTGGTGCGGCACTGGCTGGCGTGTCGTGCATGTTGCTGGTGCGGTGCCAATGGGCTGCTGTCGATGGGGCTGCAGCCGCAATGGCGGCGGCGGCGGCGGTGCACAGGTCCTTGCTGATGCAGCTACTGCCGCCAACTGCATGGTTTCAGCGGGACCGGCTACAGCCTTCGTCGGCTGGGGCTCTGATTCGTGTTCGTCGCGTTGCGAGAGGGGGGTTGCTGCTGGCGGCAGGAACGGCGGCGGCGGCGTGGATGGAGTCCTGTGTCGTACAGGCACATCGGTACCCACCATGAAGAGCGGCTTCCGCCGTTCGCCGCCCTCCAGCTTCACCTCCGTGGCCTCCGGGGCCCTACGGCCCAACAGCCAGCGACTTCCGACACTTGAAGCAGGCCCAGTCTTGCCGCCGTCGCCGTCGCTGCTGCTGCCGTCGCTGCCGCCGCCGCTGCGGTTTTCGCTAAAGCTGGTAGTGGCTGTAGTTGCCTCGCGCCGCAAGGCGGCCGCTGCTCCTTGCTGCCTCGCCTCCAGACCGCCGAGCAACTGATCCCCGCTTTTGCTCGCCGCGGCCTCCGCCTCCGCCACCGCCATGGTGGCGACGGCGCTCCCTGCCGCTACGGCCGCTACTGCCGTCGCCGCCTCCACACCATCGGCGGCAGCGCCGCACCCAGACTCCGGCCCCATCGCCGCACTGCCACTTGAAGCAGCCGCCGCCTCAGCCACGACCACGGACTCCCGCGTTTTCACGGCTGCGTCAAAGTCAAGCAGCACCGTTCCGGGAAGCCTGACGGGATGCACGGCAGCGTCCTCGACGGCGTCGGCAGGCCGTGACGCCACCGCCGTCGCCGTCCCTGTCAAGGCGGTCGCCGGGTCGTCGCCGCCGCCGCCGCCGCCGCCGGCAGGGACTTGACGACAGAGGCTCCTATACAGTTTCGGCAGACGTGCCGACAGCGGCGGCGGCGGCGGCGGCGTAGCTTGCAGGACAGGGGCTCGCCGCAGCCGCCACCATTCACTGTGACCGCCACGCATCCATAGCGGCAGGTACAGAGCATTGCCGTACGGCACCCAGGCCAGCTCATGAGGCCCACCAGCGACTTGGGGAGGGAGCTCTCCGTTGAGGAGCCTGGAGATGAATGCGTAGTTGTCTGGACAGGGGCGGGAGGTGCGGAACCATATGGGGGGATAGCAGGCATGGCGAGGGAGGGGGAAGGGGGGGAAATGGAAATGGGAA